CATACCATACCATACCATACCATACCATACCATACCATACCATACCATACCATACCATACCATTCCATACCATTCCATTCCATTCCATTCCATTCCACACCACACCACACCACACCACACTTACATTAACTTAACATAACAATTTATTTCTAAAGCACTTAAAATACAACAAGCAACCGTCCAAAGTGCTGTACAAAATTAGAAACAAACAATAAAAACACCAAATATATATATGAAAATAAAAATGTCTGCCACCATCATGGCGGAGTACAAACCAGATCATCTTATGAGAAATGACAGTCGTCGACGTTTTGGCCAAACTTTGAATATATATTATCATAAATGATCTCATGCGATATCACAAGCTCTCACATATTCCATTAGCACTACAAGTGTTTATTAGGGACTACTCTCAGCTACTACCTCTCAAAATTTTACCTGAATATTTATAAAATTGACTGAGTTTTAGCTATTCTTGTGTTTTCTAAGTTCAGCTGACTGTAGTGGCCATCTTGAATTAGGTTGATTTCAAAAGTTAATAGTTGTAGACGCACATCCAATAATTATTTCCTGAAAGTTTAATCAAAAGCCATTCAACCAGTCTCTGAATATTTAGCTAACAGGCAGACGGAGTTGACTTTAATGTTAATGGCAACGCTTAAACAAATATTAGGCAACTTCAATCCATTTTTATTCCTTTCCTAAGTTGACTAGCTGTTGCAGCCATCTTGAATCTTGTTGATTTCAAAGTTAATGAGTTATAGACGTGCAATTAATTAAGTTAAAAGATCTGAAGCTCTCGACCTTGACCTCTCTAAGTGGCTTCGAGCATCTGGTAAGTTGATGGGAAAAATACAATGAATGCAGACATGTTCCTGTTTTTATTCTACATCGTCTTACAATCTAGCTGTTTTTTTGTTACATTATTTTAATACCATTTTATTTTCACTTGTAATTCTCAGTTTGTACGCATCCTTTATCATCGTCTATTATTGTCTTTGTTGTCACTGTTGTCATCACTCTTTGTTAAAACCAGGTCTCTCTTGTAAACGAGTCCCTGAGGCTCAATGGGATTAACCTGTAGAAATAAAGGTTGAATGAATGAATGATTCCATCCCTTGTTCATAAGATATTTTGCTAACAGACAAAACCACCAGTAGGTGATAACAATAATCTATTCTAAATGGCCTCAAACTTGAACTTTTTGTAGTATTTTTGTTATCAATCCTAATGATCGTACCCTTTCTACACAGTATTATCTGTAGTAACCTTGCACTGGCCAGCTTCAGGAGCTCGACTCTGCCCAGCAGATTACTTTTATACAATCCAACAGGTTTGGGAAAGTGCGTCTTCTCCAAGAATGATGTTTGGTCTTTATAAAATTATGGATACATTATTTTGTTTCTTTCAAACCTGTTTGTTCTTTGTAGATTCTTGGAGTTGCCGTCCGATCAGAGAAGGCTCTGCAGCATTCCTTGCAGACACACTGATCTATGGATGAGATTAGCTCCCGCCTTCCTCATTCCGTACCCATCAGGTCCGACAGCTTTGAGAACATCCTCTGTTTCAGGCTTTATCTTCAAATCTCTCTGAGCTCGGTGATGTATGGAACAGGCATTTGACCATTATAACTATTATAAATGATACCTATAAGAACCAACACAAACTGAATTTATTATTCAAGTAACAAAACATCTGAGGATTAAATTAAGAAGAAAAATGTTGCAGAACGTGTATTTTGTTAGTATTTCATTAGCCTGAAGTCTTTGGCTTTACAGTGACGTCTGGAATGATGTCTATCTTGAGACATTTCAAAGTAGTAATTTCCTGGCAGTTACTTTGCACGAGTTCCCCCTAAAGTTTGGTAATAAAACACACAGAGGGCCTTATTGTGAATTTGTTGGCTGGTAAAAAAAACAAACAGCAGTAAACCACCAAAAATACCCTGTCAAAGTAGGATAATGTTACTGGACCTAACAAATATACTTTTTTAAATATAAATTTACATTAGTGATGTGATAAACTCGCAAAAAAAGACATAAACCAGAATACGTTTTAAATCATGTTTCAATGAGACAATTAAGAAATATGTACATCAAGCAAATATCATGTTGAAAGTTTCCAAACTTTAACTCTTTGGTGTGACATTTGCAAAAAACTAAACTTTTTTTTAAATTTAGTTTTACCAAAGACTTTATTTGCACGCTCAATTGAAATAAAACTGATGCTAAAGCTAAGTGGTGTGACTTAGTTCGGCTCAGTGGGGGAGGACCGGGGTAGACCAGCAGAGCTCCATCCAGCTTGCTCTGAATTATGTCGTTGGCCACCAAGCACAAAACACGCCAGCATATCAGCATTAGACCAAGATGTTGTCATTATTGTTTTTAAAAATCTTTAAAATTAGTCCAGCCGCTGCTCCAGTCCGAGAAATTGCAAATGTCGGATCATTGTTTTGAAAAGATTCTGAAGGATCCAGTGACTCCGCCCCCGACTCCGTCCCCGACTCCGCCCCCGACCAATCAGTGACCGACAGTGTTCTGACGTCAGATTTTAGTACTTCTTCGTTCGGGTTAGAACCACAGAGCCAAAGGACCTGAAAATAGTAATAGGTGCTAAGTACCGGTACTAATGGAAAAGGGGCATTAGTTCGCTGTCGCGACCCCTAACGCATGG